CCATCCTCCAAACACCGCTCCTCCAGCCTCCCGGCTCACACAGAGCAACTCCTCTTCCTCCATTGCTCCCCTTCAGCACTGTGAAGGCTCCTTCTGCCACCCAGTCCTCCCCTCAAGGTGCAGCATCTCCAGCCTGCCTCCCGTGCTGCAAAGCCCCGGGTGCAGTTCCTTCCCTGGAGCCTCAGGGCTCAGCGCCGCCTCCCTCGCTCCCTGCCCTTGCTGTCCCCACGCAGACGGCACAGCTCGCATCTCAGAGCAGTGCCACTGGCCAGCACCACACGCTCCCCGACACCCAGGTCTGCAATACCCCAGGGAGGTGGCATCCATCCTGGGGCAGAGGGGGCTGAGCCCCAAACCTGCTTGGCCCCTGTGCAGGATGAGGCCCACCCAGGCAAGGGCCCACAGCAGCCCCCATGCACTCCCTGCACACCAGAGGAGCATGCCCAGCTGTTGCACCCAGGGGTGATGAGCAGAGGGGCTGCCACAGGGCTCTAAGGGTCCAGCAAAAGCTGGCTCCACCCCTGCTAATTAACCATCAGGCCCCGCCCACTGCAGGGCATAGGCTCTGCCCACTTGACAACCCCGCCTCCTGCAGTGTTAGGCTCCTCCCCCCGGTCCCAAACCCGGAGGGTCCCAGTTCTCCCAGTGCAGCCCCGGCGCCTGGTACAGCGGTGATGGTGGTGCCACGGGCAGCTCTGCCTGCGGGCAGCTGGTGCACGGGGGTGGCTTGTGCAGGGGCACCGGGGGATACCAGGGACCGTGTCGGTGGCTGCGGAGGGTGGCACCACTGGTGCCGTGCACCCGAGCCGCATTTCTCTCTCTCTCTCCTCCTGCCCTGAGCAGGCTTGGCATCACATGCTCCCAACACCTCCGTGCCCGGCCCTGGCACCCTGCCTGGCCTGGCAGCAGGTACTGCAGCCACATGCTCGCTCCAGGCCAGAGAGCCACCCCGGTGCTGCTGGCACCGGGCACCCCAGCCTGCAGCAGGGCGGGCACAGCAAAGCCCAGCCCTGGCTGGCCCCAGGCATGCACTGCAGTGGGAGCCTGCAAAGCACCGCTGCCACCCTCGGCAAACCCGTGCCCACGGCTGTGCCAGCACAGCTGTGCCAGCGGCCACACCGCCCTTACCTTCCATGTCAATGATGGCCAGCACAGCACTGGTCATGGCCTCTCCCCGCTCGTTCTCGGCAATGCAGGTGTACACGCCGGCATCCTTCTTCTTGCTGTCCCGGATCCAGAGGGTGCCATACTCCTCCCCGCGTGGCGCCAGCAGCTCCTCGTTTCGGTACCAGCGGAGGCTGGGCCGGGGATTGCCCACCACAACCACCCGCAGCCGGATGTCGCAGCCGGTGCCGATCGCCGCGTTCTTCAGCTTCCGCACAAAAAATGGTGCCGCCAGGCGAGCCGGGCCCTCCTCGGGTGCCCCTGGCTCCGCTGTGACCTTGGCGCGCTTCGGGGGGATGCCGGGGCTCGGCGGGGCCGCCCGGGGCTCCCCACCGGCCCTGCTCCTGCTGCCACGTCCCTGTGCTCGGTGCGTGGTCTGAAGCTCCACTGCCCACACCCGCGACCCCCACCGCCCTGAGCCGGCAGTGCTGTGCCCCTCTTCTCCCCCTGCCTGCAGCCCCGGGTGCTGGGTGCCTGCCAGGGGTGCCGAGGCAGTGGTGGCCCCCCGGTCCAGGTGCCGTCCGGTTCGGTGCCTCCCCCCCGCCGGCTGTAGCCCCGAAGGTCGCAGCGCCGTGGGCAAGCGAGGGGCTATTTTTAGGTGGGGGCTCGCTGCTTGCTAAGCCGCCACGCCACGCAGAGCCTCGGCACCTGCTCCTCTGCCGGCCTGGGTGCAAGTCCCACGGGTGCCAGCCGCTTGCTGAGCTGTCCCGGCGCTGGGGCCGTGGCGTCCCCCCCCTCACCCGTCCTGTCCTGTGCGGCCCCCGGCGAGCTGCGCTCCCTCTGCCCCCTCTCCCGAAGTGGCAGCTGCCTCTGATATGTCACATTCCTTGGCCAGGCTCCCCCTCTCTGCGCCCGCCGCCCCGGCCCTGCAGCCCAGCTCCGCTTGCAAAGATAGAAAGGGGCCAGCACCTTTCCATATTAGCAGCGAGGCTCGGGGGGGACCCAGCCTTCCTCCCCGCCTTCCCCTTCTCCGGCGGTGTCACCGGATCAGGACAGAGAGACCCTGGTGGCATGTGGAGGGAAAGGACACCGTCATGCTTCCTGCAACGCGAGACCCCGGGCAGGAGCCAGCCCCACAGGGCCCCCTTGCCCCATCCCCAGCGGGCAGCAGAGAGGGGGATCCCTGCATCCCTGCTCACCCCAAATCTACCCTGCCAGGAGGCTACAAACACAGCGAAACCCCATTTCTTTCACCGAGCCCCTGTCTCGCTGCCCTGGGCAGTGTGGGTCCCAGACAGCCCCCCATTCAAGTCCTGCTTGAAGCAGGAGCACCCCGCTGTTTGGGTTTGGGGTGCCCCATGAGAGCTCCCACATGCTGTGCTCCAGACAGTGAGCGACCAGGGACTGCCTGTGCCGCGTGCTGCCTCACCACCCCCGGGCAAGGCAGGGCTTCCCCGGCTCCCGGCGCGATGGCACACGTCTCGGCACCTGGCCCCAGCCGCCCTCGCCGGGGGCTGTAAATCTGGGTGAGCAGGATGCGAGCGACACGGCACACTGCTTCCCAGCTGCAGACCAGCCCCGCCAGCTTTGGCCCAAGGGCACTGGCATCAGTGGAGCATCACCGGCAAAGAGAAGATCCCAGGATCCCCCCAGCTTGGGTGGCTGGGGCACGCCAGAGCAGGATGCCCTGCTAGACCCACAGCCCAGCTGCAGAGCAGCTGAGCAAGCCCCAGGTTCTCTGGGGGCTGGAGGAGAAGCCCACGAGAGGCTTGGGGGGGCTTTTCCCTACCTGCACTGCCCTGCGGGCAAAGGGCTGCTCTGTTCCCCGCCCGTCCCCCCATCCCCAGGGGCAGAGCCCTGACCCAGCCAGCCTGGACCGGGCAGGGAGGGAGGTGCCATCCCTCCCCAGGGCAGCCCTGGGGACCGTCCTCGATGTCACAGGGCCACCTGCTGGAGACAGCCCTTGAGATCCGACACCCCCCCCCCGACCCTTGCCGGCCCCGCAGCCAAAACTGGGGTTTGCCATGCTGGCCTCTTTATCAGGACCCCCCCAGCCCCGTCCCCACTGCTGGCAGCAGCACCTGCCTTGTCCCTAAAACGCCACTGCCTGCCAAGCCCACTGCCCTGCCAGGGCTCTGCTGCCTGAGCCCACACTGCCCTCCGGGCTCTGCTGCCTGGCAGGGGGGTGGGGATCCTCCGACGCCTCCTGGGGCAGAGCAACTCTGAATCTCTTTCCCCTGTGGGATACTCGACCCTGGGTTCCCCTGCTGCATCCCCCATCCCTGAGGCAAAGGAGCCGAAGCCAAGACCCCCACATCCCAACCACGGGGAGGGGGGCACGTGTGTTGGGGGGAGAGGGCGTAGGGGGCAGGTTGAGGCTGGAGGTTGAGCCTGGGGTAGGGACAGGTGTGGGGTGGTGGGGCTGATGCCTGCAGGGTGCCGAGGAGGAGGTAGATTTGGGATGAGGGGGGCTCTGCTTGTAGGTTGGTGGCAATGGGGGGGGCTTGGAGAGGTCCCAGGCAGGTGTGGGTCTGGGGCAGGACTGGCCCGGGTGAGGGCAGAAAGGGGGCAGCTGTGGGGCTGAGAGCCACCAGGCCATGGTGTGAGGCCCTGGGTGTATGGCGGGGGGGAGGGGGGTGTGGCCCCCAGCCCCCCCCCACCCCCGAGCCCCTCCAAACCTGCTCAGTGCTCGGCTGCCACTGCCCCCAGTCCCAGCAGGGCTCCCCCACCCAATGCAACTGGGAAACCCATCACCACAGGCAGCAAAATGCTCTGGTGCACCTTCAATGTGAGGGACACACATTTTGGGGGGACCAGCAGCCTAGGGAAGAGATGGCTCAGGGGGATGCTGACCCCCCCATCCACCCCAGCCCAGCCCCAGGGGCCCGTGCGATGCCTCCCCTGGGTGCCACCTCCCCGCCACCCCATCCCATCCCTGCCCCAGAGATGTGCTGGGAGGAAGGGGTGATGCTCCGCTATTTATTTCAGCCGCCTGAAGA